ACTGGCTCAATTTCGCACAAATGCGTCAGAGAGACACCATATCTTCTAACTCAGAGGCACATCTCGTTTTGTGTCCGTTTTCAACGACCGATGACGGGTCCATTCGAAGTCGAAGTCTTTTTTTTTATATATGACTGCGCAATATTCCCGCGTTATGAAAATTTATTATAAAATATCAATTACGTGGCCAGATCATATCTGAAAATAACCAGGTTACTTTTGTACACAATTACTCTCACTGAAAGCAATTATCGCTAACCACAATAGAACCGCAAAAGTCTTGCGATGACAGCAACCTAACAGATAAATGACATCACCCCATAGCAACCGGACCTGGCGAATTTTTGAGCTTCCGGTTAGCTCTGGCTCGTGATGTATGCAAGTTACAGTCGACTTTAATCGACTGTATATAGTCAGAGATCTAGTTTTCAAATCTCCTTTCTTCCCAGTATGTTTTGTTGATCGCTATCTATGATGTTTACGCTTACGACTGTTGATGGCTTGGCTTCGAATACCGTTGCATGATAAATTTTTACTTTTAAAACTTAAGTCACATGACCTGTTTTTCCTGCCACGCGTAGTCGAGGCGATTTCGCAATTACCGACAATAATTAATTCTAATTTTTTTTACGCGCGACTGTACATGTAAATCAAAATGAGTATCAGCTTTTATCGACACACACAACATAATATTGAATTTTTGTCCTTTTTGTGTCGATCGATTTCCACCATAAGTAATCATTTTGACCCTGTTGTACAATATAAGTGAATACTTCCAACTCTCTTGCTTTCTAACGGCAACTTAATTATTAGCAGTGCATTCGTTATATCCTCGGTTTTGATTTTGATCAACCTGCATAGAAAACACACGAGATAAATTACAGTGTTTTTATGGGAATCTAATGGTTCATTATTTTCTTAATAATTAAATTCTGCACAAGTTAGGAATAGCCAAGTTAAAATACTAGGCCAAGGTTTGCATTAACAAATTTAAGGGATGTAGCTGTGCCCAATTGCGTCTTTAATTTTCTATATATTTTGTCTATTTTTTTTTCCGACAACTTACAAGCCCTCGTAAAAATTTCTAAACAAAATAAATGTATGGAAAATTAAAAAATGCGACTGGAAGTTTTCTAACACAGTTACATCCCTCAAATTCGTTTATTCCCATCCTTTGCCTAGTATCTTATTTTTGCTACTCAAAAACTGTCCAAAATTCGATTTTTAGGAGAACTGTTTTGGACTGAATCCCCATACAAACACTGTAATATCCGGCGCGTGTTGCCCGCCTGGCAAGAAGGCTCCCAAAACCGTGCTAAGGTACATTCTGCTTCTTTCGTAATCTTTAAAATACTGCCGCTATATTAACACAATAAAACGAAGAATATCTAAAGCCAGAAGTTAAGTTAACGGACTGAATTTTAATGCTGGTTAATTACAAAATCAGGGTGAACTTGCAATAGATAAGTTGTTTCTGAATGCGTCATTCATGGCTGATGTAAACCGGTGGAGACAAAAACGTCTTACCCTTGTCGCTAACAAAGAAATCTCTGCCTTCATTTCTACTTCTAAATAACACATTAGCACGCAGGTAATGGAGCGAGAACACGCTAATAGCCAAGGTGAGCAATATCAACAAGAAAACAAACATTAACTGAAGCATCCACAATGAATTAACTTTATAAGCTAACAAGCATACTTGATTTCGAATACAGAGTACAGTCCGAAGAAGAGATTAGGCGGCAACATCGACAGTCCTCGGCGAAATTTAAAGTTTCGAGATCCTAAATGTGACATTTCATCCTAACAATTACTTTTCAGTGACGATCAAGGCTGTTCTCCAGATTAAAAAGTCATAAATTGAAAATGACTTCGAGCCCTTCATTACATTCCAAATTCAAAGCTTTTACCACCATATTTACACCTTTGTACTATTTACTAATACATATTGGAGAACATACCTCTCAACAGACTTTAACCCTTCGAGCAATAAAACTATAATCCAGCAGCCTCAACGTTAAATAGACACGAATGATGTTAGCCTTGTCGTTTGCATATTGGCACATATATATACCTAGCAGGTGTTAAGCTTCATGAATACGTAAAAACATCAATTTTATTTTGTCTGTTTCTTATTCTTTAACATTTGGTACTGATTTCATATAGCGCGTCGTTTACAAGTGCCAAAGTAAAAATGTTTGCAATGGAATAGTCAGTTTGTACAGGCTTATGCTTTCAGAACAATTTCTTTTTCCATTTCGCTTATTGCTTTTATTTCTATTTTGATAATTCTTCCTACAAAGATTCAATTGTTATGTAAATTTATCATAGATGGGACGAACTTTCACTGACGTTTGATCACAATTCCTAAACAGTTCTTCTACCCTATAGGTGGTCCTAAAAATAGGATTTTTTTGTCTACCATTTCAAGCTTTATATACAATTCAAAGAGATTATTTCAAAAAATATACTTACTACAATTTACTTTTATTACATTTTAAACTTAAAACTCCCTTTGAAGTAGGGACGATCGTCTTTATGCCGTTAACATTCCTGATCAGTTGTTACTATTTAAAGCGATGACAAACCAATATGTTTATCAGTAATTCTGTGATTTTCTCTTCATAAATAGGATGATAAGTCAATACACAATTGGCCAATATTTCCCCCAATGCAGGGCAAGGATTACAGTTCAAACAAAAAAGAAAGAAAACTACAACTAAAACAATCCCCCTCTCCCATCTCCACCACTTCTTCTTTAGGATGCGCTTGAATACAAGTCATTAAACGGAGAAAAACGGCCAACACCCATATAATTTTGTTCAGAAACATTTTTTTTACCCACAGAAATAACTAATTTGACCCATATCACGTAGGATAACAAATTATACATTTACATGATTACATTCCGCACTTTGTTTGTAGACTTTGCTTTAGCAACCTGGTCTGGCTTCCTGTAGAATTTAGACAATGGACATTAGCTATTCAAATGCTCACATCTTAGTTAAATTTTGCTGTTTTATAAGATATTTCATTATCGTATGAGAATAACTGGAGAGGAATCATTTAGCATCATCCCTGTTGCTTCTACTGGAATTATTGATTTTGCCTCCCCAAACATAATTTAATCAGTCTTTAACGAGACAAAATATGAAATCCTAAGTACAGCTATTAGCAAGAGTAAAGTGCAATTAAAAACGGCCAGGATTTTTTTCTGTCTTTTCTGCGAAAACTAGAGTAAAACGTTTAATTATCGATATATGTTCCGTCGCTGAACCTTTTTATGCCTATTGCATTCATGAACTTCTTGCATTCTTCTCGAAATGTTGCATTCATGTAACCAAATATAAGAGGATTCGCTATGCTGCTCAAACCGACCAGATACGTGGCGAAGAAGTAGGCTTGTCTTGGAAGGCGAAACTCCTTATGAGCTGTATCAATGGCCGTTACGATATACAGCGGTGTCCAGCAAACAAAAAACGCGAAAATGATAGCAAACAATGTTTTTGTCATTACAATATCTTCTACTGAAAGTTTATTACTTGGCACGGTGGCCGCTTCTTCGACGCTCTGTAGACGCTTGGTAGCGTGCCGTTTCACCACCCTGTATATTCGCAGGTAACAATACGTTACTATCAACATGGGCAAAATAGTGAAGAAGACAATACGATATATTGCTTGCTTTTCTCGAGCGTTCTCGATGGTGTAAAAGCAGATCATCATTCCAGGATGAAAGCCGAACTCGTATCCGCGAAGAAGGAAAGGCAGCGGAGCGCAAAGTGCCAAGGTTGAAACTATTCCGATGGAGAGTAAGATATACTTTTTAACGAAAAGCTTCATGTAAATCCGTGGATAAAGCACTCGGACAAAACGGTTTACAGCCGTCAGTGGAAACATTAGCTGGGCGGTGTACGCTAAGACCACGCACCAATACCCTTGAAACTGGCAAGCAAACCACGATGAAATCCATCTACCATGACTGCTGACACCACACAAAAACGGCATTACCAGAGAAGCTATAAGGAGATCGGTCACAGCGAGTGCGAGCACATAGATATTTGTCACACGCCGAAGGCGATGGTTGCTGTAAACGGCCCAGCAGAGAAAAGCGTTTAAAAACAACGCCGCGATGTTTAGAACAACACAAACGGTTGTTTCAACCGCCACCGTTGATTTTTTTCGAGTAAAAAGCTGAATGGTGAGGTTATAGATAGCGAAATCATTTTCTGACACGTTGCTCGACATTTTTGAGAACTCCGCTTCGGTTAGCTACTGCTGCCGTGGTTAAATAGTCAAAATGTCCAATATTGACCGCCTGCCCGGAGTACGAATTATTAATTACTGCCACTTTAATATAAATAAGAATTGGCTACTGTAATCCAGAATTTTAAATTCAGATGGCTAGCGTCGCGAAAAATCTCTTGAATGAAACCACCTACTGGTCTAACCACTCTATTTACAAACAAAACACTTTGAACCGAACGTGTTTTTATACACTGTTCCGTTTTTATAATTGTTATCAAACCTGATACAGAAGCTTTCCTTTCAAAAACATATTATTTTGATACGCATATTTATTCACCACGGGAGAACGCAATGCAGTGAAAACACTGTTGTTGGAAAAAAAAACTGTCAAGGTTTAAAAACAACACTCAATTGTCACAAAAATTGGCTGCCATTTTTAGTGCTGTCTGAACAAAAAAATCAACATTCCTATCGTACTAAAACACATGCAACCCAAAATTGTTTTAAATCTTATTGCCAACGTTCATTGAAAAGGCGAATGAAGCGTGATTATCGTATCAAATGCTGATAAAAGAGATTTCTTTAAACAACACAAGATGGTATATATCGTTTGAAGTTCTCCCATGAGGCAGAAATAGACTGCAGAGATGTTTTATTGCATTTAGAAAGAGTTACCAAATAAATAAACGAAAAAAATTGTGTGTGGGACATTTGCCGTCGACTCTTCTAAAGTCTAAAAAAGTGACTAAAGCCAGTTGCAAAACACATTAAAAATTTATTGTGCTTTCTACAGTTTTGCATCAAACAAAATTAAAAAAGCCGGAATGACAACATACGTGTATATTGTCTTAAGGTTATTTAAATTGGCGGAGACACATTGTCTGAAGAAATGAGGTTTCGTTGTCACTTTACTTTCATCTCACAGAAAGTACCCGCAAGTAATTTGACAGTAAAGTTATAAACAGTCAGTTTAGATATTTCCAGCCAAGAATCACGAATAATTTTCCTTTTCAGCGATCCTTTTCTATCAATGATTGCAAAGTTTTCGAGGGATATCTAATATTTTGCCATTTTACCATATTAGGTCAAGACAATGGACCGAAATAAGCCCGTATTGCCCTGTAGAGTGCTATTTTGTTTTCGTCATTCCCTCGCGCCTTATGGGATCGATACGATTTTCGGATGATGCAGGTTGAAAATGGCATAACTGGGAAATACTTGAACGTTGGTCATATATTAAATATGCGCGGACATTTTCCCATTGCTCGTATTTGTCTTTACCCCTTCTGGACTCGGATAAATACTACGTGACCTGCAAAACATCCTCACGCATTTATTATATGTTACAGTAAGCCATTGAATAAGATGTACTTATTAGATTTATTTATGGATAATTCAATTCCCGAGAAGACTTAATGAAGGCCATTAAGCGTTGTGCAACATTTAAGCCTCAGAATTCCTGAATGATATGGAGAGTGAGCGTACATAGCTGCAAGTTTCGAATGAAAATCCATACAAGTCCGCGAGCAAAACGGGGAAACTTTTAAATGCTCAACCCTAGCAAGAACCCCTGACGCTATAATAGCCCACAAAATACGATCTAGTATACGAAGAAACAAGAGATGAACTTACTCTCAGGATAGGCTTTTGAGTTTTGATCTCGGTTTCGAGGTTACGAGTCAGGATTTCCAGGATTTCGAGTCTGTTTTGGCGTTACGACCTCGAGTAAGGACCTCCATTCAGGATAACGTTTTCTTGTGTACAGAGTGAAACTGATTGAGGTCCATGTTTCGACTTGTTACTATGATGTTCATGTGATTTTGAAACTATATATAGTAAGTATTGCCAGTTTTTCATGTGACGTCAGTTGTCATATTCCAAATAATTATCAAATTACCTTTCCATCTAAGGTTTTAGTTTCATTTTATACTTCAAGGTCCTTCGAGACCGTCTATAAATAAAAAAAAAAATGAAATAAAATAAAATAAAATAAAATAACTTGATATTCTTCAAGGTTGTAGCTCGACAGCATGCTTTTAAGAGTTCCAAAGCTTTTGCGTTGCGTGACATTAAAATGGCAGTCCGAGAAGACTATCACGTGATTCTCGCGCGCTTTCTTTTTCTGCGTCACGCACGACGGACTAAGCGAAAGATCTTAAAAAAACTTTAAGATAAGTAATCGTTTGATTTGTCAAACGATGACTTATCTTAGAGTTTTTGCTAACTGAACGGTCCTTGCATTAGACGAAATATTGATTTCAAATTGTCAGAGCTCTAAAGTGATGATTATAGCTCTCGTTTTCATAGCAAAACTCAATGAAAGATGTTTGTTACTCTACGGCCGCCATACGATGTCCCTCCAAGGGGCACTAACATGGCGTCTATAAATTAGGGTGCAACATTTCTCTTAATAACGTGGGTATGAAAAACAGCAAACACTTGATTTTTGCGAGGTTGTTTCAGTATATCAACCATCCATCATTACCCAGATTCGCGATGGCGTGACAGTAACTAATTAAAAGAGCACACTAGAGTAAAAGCAAACCGTACGTAAACTAGTCTTCACAGCCCCTCTGACCGAAGTCATGTAAAACCCAGGAGCTTTCCGTTAGTTCGTTAACCGACTACACGTCAAATGGAGTGAAAACTGGGGACAAACCTCTCGTCCCCAGAGCCCCCTGTCCTTTTAGCTGCCGGGGTCTCCGCACGAGGACGTGGCGGCCACGATTCCCGAAAATACTAATGGTTGATCTCTAAGACTGTTAACTTGCCCTTTGGAGACCTAGCACTAAGAAAGCTGGTGGAGGGATTTGAGACGTGTTGAGAGCCATTACGTTCCTCTGCGAAATCCTAAAGCGGGGCATGTCTGTCTCCCCTGTCCCAATGAAATTCCACGTGTTTATCTATNGGGGCTGGAATATCATTTCAAAGAGAGCAACTTTGTCGTCTTAAATAGTGTGGATTCGACAGCTCCAACCAAGAAAACAACAAACTCAGATCAAAATTTCAAAACGTTTGCAAGTGTCTTTCTTTTATTTATTCTCGATGTATGCGTTATGTCGTAACGTCTAATCTTCAACTGTCAACAAGAACGTACTCTCTTGTAAATAAATTCAAAATTCTTGACCTGAGTTTCTAGAGACTGTTTCTCCCTCCACGATCTTTCCTAAGCAACGTCTTAAGCATCTATAACTTACTGAAGAGATTTATAAACAACAGGCAGGAGCTTGCTATCTCCCGTCAAGTATCCATTTTGCAAAAGTTTGTATATTGTACAAGTATTCAAGGCAATTTATAACTCTTTCATTCCCAAGGGTGACAAGATAAAAAAAAATCTCCCCAAATTTCTTTATGTACAAAACGCCATGACATGAAAGTGTAGTTCAGTAGCTTTCACGTGGATGGCTGGGCATCAGGGAAATTAAAGAAAAGAGTAACAAATTAAACTAAAAGAAGTCTAACTCTGGCAGACAAAAAAAAGGTTAAATAAAAATACTATCTATGGGCTCCTTCTCCCTCTCCTCCCTGACAAATCTCGACTAAAAAACCGGCCGTCTCTGTTATTTCCTAACAAACTAACAATGGAGTTACCGGTATTTTTATCATCTTACAATATTCTAATTCAAAAAGCACTATATCGTTAATTTACAACAACATCTACACGTGTTGGAGGGTCCAAATTTTGACGTGTTTGGCGTCGGAATATTGCTCAGAGGCGACTCTGAACGACATGCAACTTAACCCACTTGTCGGTCAGATAGTGTCATTTATCAACCGGCCATAAGAGGGTTGTCGCTGAGGTACATGTAGGTGAGTGACACTGTCAAGTATGAACTGATAATCATCCTGCTGCTGCGATTTTTTCCAGCGCATCACAGGACTTCATCTGCATTCCGTTTGCCCTGACCATTAACGCATCATCTCGCCAAAAACGCGCCCGAGCTCTCACTTCTTCCCCTAAAAAAAAAAAAAAAAAAAAA